ATATATATCCACAAGAGACTGATCAATTGCAGTCCTGAACATCAATCGGAAGATTCAAACAAACAATACCAAGTGAATTTATAAATAGATATTGTTATTTCTTGATTCGGTTGACCTACAAAAAGCTTACTTCTTACTTTAATTATCGTATAGACGGAGTAAATTTTAATTGAATAAAGCAAAACAATGTAATAATCAATAGTAATGTGTTGAGGTGGACCATTTAGATTTTGATCAAACTCTAAAAGTTACCATCCTATATTATCTCTGAATAATTAACAACCTAAACACTCCAGTCATTTTAGACTAGATAATATAAAACCAATAGTTAACTGTGAACGTTTATAGAAACGAATATTTTATGAAACCAGTGAAATAAGAGAGAACAGTTAGAGAACACAACAGTAGTCGATTTGAAACAGACAGAAGTATATACATATTCAGCCAGTATGATAAAGAAATGCAGTGTACACTACCCGAGAAGCATGAAATAAGACTGACTACTATACAGGCAATCCAAAAATGGATTACATAATCGGTTTGGGCACCCCGGGCAGTACCACAGCCCTCAGACAAATCAAATGAGACTTGTGTGGCGCATATGTATCTGGTGCCCTCTTGTACCAATATCTGTGTTCAAGGAAATAATTATTAAGAGTTCGACTAAACCTACAAGTGCGTAAAAAAAAATAAGACTAATATAAGGGTATATCACTAATGATTTGTGGTCTACATATGATATTTTAAACCAATTACTTGCTAAACTGTAACGCGGAGTTATATTAATCTGTAAATAATTTTCAATAGTGTACATATTGGAAGACTATCTATTGAATAGAGGACTAGATGATTCCGCAAAAATGTAAATAACAATGATATCAAGCTTCCAATAAAAATTGAATCACTATATTTCAAATAAAAGAAAACTAATACACTGACCTGAACAGGGTCAAAAATAAATGGAATTAGTTTAGAGTAAGATTGGTCATCTGAATAGGTTAAGAGTTCACATGAACAACACACGTGCATAGAAGAATTATTGCATTGATATCAACAATTCATTCTGGAAATTTATTCTAAAAATGAATGGATAAGTGAAATGTGTGAAACTATGAAAGTTATTCTCCAGAGGATGTATATTATTTATGCGTTGAACTATTGGTTTAAAGTACTTTCATGTTACTCTAATCTCATTTGATTTCATTAAACTCATTAACTGTTGATTTATCTATAACCGTACAGAATTTTCAACTCATTATTTATATATTTGTTACTCAGTTTCAGATCATAAATGACTTAGTTATGTACAGATTGAGATTTCTTATTTACGGTATGTCTATATATAAGGCCATTTGGAAATGAATAGAGAATTAAATAGGGTAAAGCAATAGTTACACAGAATTCGGAAATTGATAAGATGGACTGTGTAATAACTAGAGAAAATTTAATGAGTTTACAGAGATTTTAACAATCAGTTTAGTCAATATTACATATGAATCAAAAGATAGTTATAAGGTGGATAAAATAACGAACAACAAAATACAAATTAATAATAATAATAATATTTGGAAGAAATTGAAGGAGAATAACGAATTTAGCATAGCAGTGATTAATTAGCAACTATCTCTTTCCGCGCATATTGGTTTAACAGTCGAATTCACAAGTCGATCTAAGTGAGACCACCATTGGATACCTAGAAGCACTGGACGACTGTTTCATCCTTGTATGAGACTTCTCAGTAGTGCATAATCACGTTCTCGAATATGGGAATAGAACCCAGGACCTTCGGTCTTGCACGAAAACACTTAACCTCTAGACTACTGAGCATGCATCCAAATGTGTTAATGTCTAACTTCAATCGATCCATAATCTTGTGCAACTCTTAATCCATTGTCTGAGATGGATAACTGTCTCTATCCGATACGGTTGGACTCCATTGGTCACGACTTCTCACGAATCAACTAGTGAGCACATGATTATCATCAGTATGGAGATCTGTAGAAATGGTTAAAATACTCCAATCTCTACAGTGATCATATTAATTTAGTTTACTTTTAAACAGTTGCCGCTTCAGTGAAGTATTTGAAGTTGTGTTTTTTTATTTGCGGATAATTTCGAACAGTTGATAAAAGTCGGATAATGTGCCCATTGATGATGAAATGTTGAACCATTGTATTGTAGCACCTTTTAATCATAAGTTCTTTGAAATGTATTAGATCTTACCTAATTCATAATAAAATATATATACTATCTACTAATATGTTTTGAATATCATTGCAAAAACCAAATACCTACTATCATAGATTTCATTAGTTTATCAAGAATAATATAGTTTTACCGCTTAATTGTATACAACTTGCAAAATCATTTGAGTCTATCAGATTTCTAACACTATTCTCTTTCTTGAAAACAAAATATAACCGACAGTTACTGTTGAATATTTGGGGTCGGCGTAACTATCGTAACCGGTGGTTGGAGATTTTCTGTGACGTGGCTTAGAATCGATCACAATGGTGTAGGTGTATACACTCCCTATCTTCCCTTAAACTAAAAGATTAAAATTGCTTCATATCTTTCTTTCTACGAACTAATTCTTTCTTCCTGTACTATATCCTCATATGCAATCTTTCTCCTATATATTACCACCTTTGACGTAACCACTCCTATGAATCCGGTGTTCATCTTGCTGTGTTAATGCGGTATGGCAACCTGGACCGATGCATATATGTGCCTGGTCCTACGTTGTAGCTGACTGACTGACTGAATGTATTGTAATGTATTTCTATTGTAATTACAATAATTATAAAAGTGTTGAATAAAATGTCAAAAGAGGTACTAATATAAACTGAAATGATAATATTGTAAAGAAAGTATAAACAGGGGGGAGGGGCAAATCATATGATAATTGACAATACAAAAGAGCTTGATTTTAATTCATTATTATAATGTATAAATAATTATTTATGAAAAGAGAATTAATGAAAGGATCTACAACAGGATTTTGATTCCTTTTTTTCATACTTGATAATGTCTTAAACGATCGGGTTGTATGATCTCTATAAGATTTGATCCAGAATGTTGTGATAGGCCAAAAGATTTCAAGCCAAAGTAACTATTTATCATTCCACAGATATATTCCATAAACATGTTATATCCCGACGAGAATAATGAATGCTAACTGTTAGAATCTATTTATGGACTAATACTATACACATATTTTTATTGTGTAATTGTTAAGTAACTAAACTATGTATATTCATATCCCTCTTATTTTAAGCTTTATTTTGACCTATGAACTATTATTATACGATTTACCGTTCTTGGGTTATGCCCTGTCTATCAATCACTATCTCCCTTATTCATAGCCACATTTGACTAAATCTTGTACAAATGTTGTTTTCTATTTTACGGTGCGATGTGATCTGTTTGGTTTGTATATAAACCCAGTATGTTTGGAATACATGATTCATACCTCAGAGGCTGGGATTGGTGTTCTGGACTTAACAGACAGGTCTAAGCAGGAAGAAGGACCGATAAGGACTGTTTGTACGGGTTTACGCGTCATTGGTTCGGCCGATAAGTCACTGTTCCCTAATTGACGGTGTATGATGATTAGCAGTATTTGAATTATAGTACGAACTAAGAATCCCAGAAATAACGTAATCCGATCAAAAAGTACTAGATAAGCACGAACGACTGTACCGTATTTGGAATTCGAAATCAAGCATTCAACAAGGACAAAGGAATCATTAGTTCATTCAAACACCACACGTTATATATTAACAGAGCACAAGTTATAAAACGAACCTCGCCGCTTTAATTTTTCAGTCTAATTATGACATCGGTCAACTGGGTTTAATACGGAAGGCTCCAAATATACTAAAAAGGGACACCCATTTTTAATAGATAATTTTAAAGAATAATTATGTACAAAGAAACAAAACCTCACCTGGTAATAAAATGTGGTGACACGTGTGAGGGTCTGAGTATTTGAAAGGGAAAAAATGAGTGATCAATAAGTAACTAAATGAAATCTGATTTACGCTTCAAAAATGAGCTCATAGCATGTTTTAGGAAACCTGATCAGTATGTTAGTAGTCACCGATGGGACCCGACATATTCAAGAAAATATTACGTAGATAAAGCATACCTTTTATGAATTTACTGCAGAGTGCAAAAACAATTAATTTCCCACACATTTTCCGAACCGTTCAGACGATTCGCTCACCAGAATGTCCCCTTTGTCATAGAAAAAGACTGATATAGGCTGTCTGAAAAAGACTACTTGTGACATTATAATGAGTAATGTTTCCTTTAAAACTCCCCTTTCTTGGACAGACTGATGTCTACCATTCATGGAGCACACGCAAATCTGTTGTTTAACTATGTTCTCTCCCCAGACCTGAAGGACTTTGGATAAATCTCCCTGAGGCAAGGAATAAACATTGCCGAAGTCTCGTAACGATGACTATCCTGGGAATTTATTAATCAATCACTTACGTGTCAATATAGTCTAAATGAGATCGATAAACCTAACTATTGTAATTACTAATTAAAAATACATATTCATCTTACGATCATATTTGCCTGCTCCTTGGTGCTAATCGAATTCTACTGACCACTGGTTTAGAAAAACACTTACTACGTGTACCACTTTTCTACATTGAGAGACTCCACGTACCTGATAGGAAACCCTGACCGACATATTTCAAGCTAGTTGACACTCGTTTACATGATGAGAATTGTTGCTACCGGTGAGGAACGAGACCATTTCACCCCGGCATCACACTCAAAAACGTCACCACTAAACTATTAGGACCGTAACTGACAACCTGTAGGACTGAGATGTTTGCACTGTTATTGTCAATAACATATTTTTGTAAGCTAATTGATGCTGATTGAATTTTAACGCCCAACGATTTGTTTTCTGTCAGCTGATACTCGTAAAACCATTTTACATCAAAATATTAATCCTACTTCACTTTGTAGAAGACTGCAATAAAAAAACTCAGAATGTGTATTTTCTGCCATAAAAAACTCAACCAACACATCATAGTTCACAAGTTCCGTGTGCTTTCTCTTTTGATATTATTAGTTAACTGAGATTTCAAATAATCGTTTGAGGTAAAAGAAGATAAACAAAGCATAAAATAATGATAGTTCAAGATAGAAAGGAAGATTGGTTAGATAATCAAATAAAAATCGTTGTTAACTACAAGGAGAAATCAAAGATAAACCGGGAAGAAAACACAGGCATCATTTCATCACAAACAACTTCCAACATACCTCTGCTAAAGAATACATAGTCGCTAAAGAAACACGTAGAATTGATGATATCCAGTCATTTGTCTTTCTTCAGATGTACGCTCAATAAGCATGTGAATAAAACAATGCTGGAAGACATAACCGTCAAATTGTAATGTTAACAATAAAAATAATAATACATGTGATTACAAAATAAAGATAGAAGAGGAATTACAATAGCCAAGCATGTGAATGAATAAATAAATAAATAAATAAATGAGTCAATAATTTTGATTTAATTCTCAGAATTAGCTGAGATTAAACTTGAGTTTACACTGTGAATATCACAGAATAGGATGTGGAGGATAGATTGAGCAAGATAAATAAATAAATAAATAGATTTAATACACAATAACTAAATATGTATAAATCTTGAATTAAATAGTGTGCGTGAGTGTGCGGATTCATTTGAAGGAGAATAAAGACAGTGAAAGAACTCTTGAGTCGATTGGAAATTAATAGAAAAAATAGAATATAATGATTGTATTTTTTTTAAAAAATTAATCATAATAAATCGTCAATAAACTCTTTATACTGTTGAACGTGACTAGAATTATGCAATGACGACAGCTCTCTAGGTAAATTCATCTCATTCATGATTAAGTTGCAAGAAGAGTTTATTGTATGAGGTGATGATGATGATGATGACGATGATGTTGATTTAATGTCATGTTTAACTTGATCATCAGTGAGTAAAGATGACTGATCAATAACTACTAATGTAGAATTAACATTCTTAGGAATCATTGAATTAAAATTATAAAATGCATTATCACCTTCACGTATATCTTCTGATGGCTGTTCACATTGTTGAAAGTTCACATCGATAAGACTGACTTGTGGATGAGTAGTAACAGACCCTGGTACTAGTGGAGGTGGCGGTGGATATCGGACAATATTTAATTTATTCGAATGGGAATTACCTTGAGAAATTATAGGAAATTTTGGATTAAGTTGAGTACGTTTTTCAGTACTAACTGTGGAATTATTAATATTTGTAGTCGGTGCAATTGTAAGTGTTGGTAGATTATTAGATGAATAAGTGTAAACTGAAGATTGACCTATTAACGGATTGATTTGAAGTAATGACTCTGTTGAAGGATGTATGGATCCGATAGATTCAGAAGGATTTTGACTATCATTGGTACTACAGTCTGTATAAATTGGTAAAGTATCACAGTGTAATTTTCGACTGCTAACGGAAGGCATTTCAGTATTCTGGTTAAAAATATTAGTTAGAACAGAATCCATGAGGAATGCCATTTTCTGAAATTAGAAGTAAATAAATAACTCTTGACAGAGAAAATTGGTACTATATTAATTGAATAATTTCAACTGCTGTTAAAGTATACAGAAAACACTATAGACAGAGATGGATGGTGGCTAACAGTGAAGTTCAGGATGCCGTCTCGTCTTATTTGGGACTCGTTAGACGAATGTACCTGCATCCCAGAGTTGATATTCACTTCAAGGCTCGAAACTAGTATCATTCACTTCAAACGCCATAGTGTTATCCACTTAGCTACCGATTTCAGATAGTCACTAGCTTAATGTTCGCAATAACTATTACAATTTTAACATAAATCAATTAATCAGTTAGTCATAAACGTATAACTTCATAAATCTGTCCATTGGTCCCAACAGCTACACTACATCAGCACAGATAGATGTCAAATTATCAGTAGTGAGGGCAGAATCACTGGTTGTAGAAAACATTTGGCACAGACAATATGATTCGGCAGGAAAGAATGAGTTTGAACAACAAAAAGTGAGATAATTTTAAAACTAATGATCTAAGAGAAGACGAAGAATGAGTGCATCTGTTACAATGCGAGTCATGTTGTAGTGAACAGAACACCAGTGTGGACCAATCCAATGTATTTAACACAAAATTACAAGACTTGTTAATAAAATCTAACAATCATAAAGTAAATGCTTAACTTGCAAAATGTCCGCAAATTGTCTCAAAATGACTCACACTTCATTGTTCTTGGATTTTCATACAAATTGCATCCTGTCCCCATTCTTTACTGTTCGATCCTCTTGTCTCTCTGCTGTCAGACCTATTCACGACTAGCATCATATACTACTTATGTCAATATAAGTAGCACACACCACAATGTCACTTAGCATCTATAATCACTAGTCACAACAGTCACGCGGATTCCAATCAAGTTATTTGGAACTATATACACTGCACAAACCAACAGTCAGCGAGTTGATAGACTGATACCACGTCTTAGCTTGATCGTCCTCAGTTTTGTTCTAACCTACTCCTACACCAGTCAACGTATTGTGTCGAAGTAGGCAGTGATTGTCCATACGCAACATATATCCAAATTTCAACTTAGTCGATGAAGAGTCACCACCTTATCAACCTACTTGCCATTTATAACTCATTAACCAACCATAGGTTTTCAATACTTTAGGCTTTGAGTCGCAAGTGCTAATAAAACCACAGAGGTTTATCCGAAAAGAAATAAATGAAGTGATGTTCGGACTAGTGAGTTAATTGTTTAATTACAACTGATTTAATCAATAAGTTACTGTTCCACAAAAGTGTAATTCAAACTCCCTTTATAATCCTGTTTAATGACCATTTGATAAAATGTTACACAATAAACGGGATAGTATGATAAAACTTCGAACAGATAATTATGGTGATGGGTTTGTTACTTACATCCACGTAGAAGTTAAGGTAATTAATGACCAGTAAATGACAATAAATATGTTGGTTACATTAAAACTTGATGAATACATACACAAATGTCATTATTTTTCACGTATAATTATTCAAAGTTTACAGGTAGAAGCAGTTATCTTACAGACTTTAACTAAAAAGGAAACGCTTTCCTAAATGAATGAAATTGATGGTGTAAATCTGCACAATCGGTTCTGTATGTGAATAGGAGCACATGCCATTTGATTACAGAGCCCTGTTCACAAAGAGATTACATATATATTTATAAAGACAAATCAGTCATGCTTTCTATTTAATATAGTGATGCCTAAATAGGTGATGGTCGTTAAATGAATATAACTGACTATTACGGTAGATTTCCCTTTTTCTTCCAACCTCTCTTATTAGCTTATACTTTTCATCCTTAAAGTGTCTTTTTGTATAGCAATCGTTAAATCTATTCGATGGTGTTTAATATCTCCAATCCCCTACTTCGAACTCCAACTAACAACACAAAATACAAAAACCATACTAATTAAATCTACCTTCGTTATTTAAACAATCAACAATGAGCAGCAGAATGGACTACCTTGTGTTTTCTCTCGTAATATGACAGTAGTTCAAATGTATAATAAAGATTATTCAACAAGCTCCATTATAAGCACGGGCGGTAATGACATAGCCTGGTTGCACAAAACGAATTAGCTGGAGCGGAGTTCGAACTAAGGACTTAGTGACCCGAAGTTGAACCCCTTATCAACCAAGCTACAACTCAAGAATTTTGCCACTTGGTAGCTCGTTTATCAGGTACAGACTCATGTCCCTGACTTTGAGACACACTTATTGTGAGGATTAGTGGTACCAACACGGAACCAAAACCGAACCAGGTGGAGCGAGATTTAAACCTGCGATTTGGTGGATGAAAGCTGAGTATTAACAAATGAACCAATTAAAATGGTAGTGTACAAATAAAAAAATTATCTAATATCCAGCAAAGATGTGCACTGGTCAAAGTTGAAACGCCTGAGATCAGTAGACTGAAGTTAACAACAAGAGGAAAAATCACTGAAGATTATTACAGTAGCAGAAGTTAGAACATAAAAATATGAGAATACAACAAAGGGAGTGAAGGTGTGAGGGAACAAAAAGTAATGAGATGATAGAAATTCCCAAGATCAACAGCGGGTTGACAAATGAACGAACCTGTGTCATCAAGACTGATGTCCGATAATGAAACTTTTACATTCATGTACAACTTAAATCAATGACTTCATGAACTTATTCATCTATAACCCACTTAATACCAAAAGAGTTGGATGGGTATTTACAGAACAAGCCCTAATAGATTAAGTCAGTACAAGTTTACAAAAACATACCCATTAATTTCCCATAACTACCTAACACTAAGAGGAACAAAAGTACAGTTCCCTTGACAGTAACACTATAACCAGATAAGGTTTTGATGATATCCAAGATCAAATACTTGTAAATTAGTTTTTGTATCTATTTTTATCATGTATATGTTGAATTGACTGTTAATGTTTGTAAAGATGGTGTTTTATTTTGTCAGTGAACTCTGAAAACTGAATATATGCTAAAAAAATAAGCGCAGTCTTACGTGTGCACGAATTTGATAAAATGACTGAACTGTACAATCTTTTGATCCCAATTTAACCTTGCATCAATCGAAAAGCGAGTTGTTAACAGTGTATGCTGGACAACTCGATTATTCAGGCACATATTATAATCACATGGTTCGCAGTAAAATCAAAATAATAGCGAATGAGATTTATTAATCAATTAAAACAGATGACCTTATATTGCTTTTCCAAAAAAACAGAGCAAGCTTACTAAAAAATAAATATCATCCATTAATACTGTCAACTATGAGTAATCCAAGCTCAGTTAGTTAACAATTCAATCGATGATCTCAAGTATGATCGATAGTTTTGGATTACTTAAGGTATGATCTAAGTTATATGGCGAATTACATTACGAAGTACTCTATATATTGGGATCATGGCTAAAAAACTGACCTGTTACTTTGAAAGTTAAGCGTCTTCATACAGTTATAATAATTCGAGAATATGAGTAAACAACACATCCCCAGAAAATGCAATGTTTTGGACATAACATTGTTTTTCACACTACATACTGTCATTCCTAGCTCATTACAAACTTATAGCCAGTCAGTCAGCTTCATTATCAGAGTCTGGCACGGATGTGCGGAGGTCAAAGTTGTCATATTTCATTAGCATAACCAAATAAAATCAACAAGATGTGTAGCAGAAGGGATCTAAATAGCATAGTACCAATCACAATGAAAAATAAAAATTAAGGGTAGGATTCGAAAAGACAGTGAAGAGTTTTACATAGAGGAACATCGGTATTCAAGATCGAGAGCATAATAAAGAGTGCATCTGCACAGTCGCGAATGATTCTAAGCTATTCCACACACAGTATCCAGCCACTGGTTGGTGTTATCGTGTATATCCCACCCAGATAGTCCGCATCTGCCTACATCACTTAGACCAACAGTCATCGACTTCATGTTTTGTCTGAACTTACAAAACAACAGTAGAATGACTTTACGACAAATTTATATGTGGTAAATCGTGAATATAAGCTTCATCTCTAAAAAACCAGCCTCTGACTACTTCAAATGTTTTATATTTGTCTGTGAGTGGAAATTATTGAAAGATGAAAATATCCTTTTGAGGATTTTATCTAGGATTGAGGTTGATTTGAACATTACTACTTAACTGGTTTCAAGTATCATATATTGGTCAATTTCAATGAGGCTTATCTTGCATTTGAATGATACAGCTCACTTCCCATGGAGTAAATTCACTTTAAAAAAGCTCATTGAAAAAAATAAGAATCCTTTAATTCGGAAATCTCACTGCCATTATGAAACAAAAGAAGTACAGTGATTGCGTCACAAATGGTTTTATAAAACCACTTCTATTAAACAACTACAAGTTATGAATATGGTACGAGTGGTTATAGTCAGACAGTTTATAGAAACAGAATAAGAATTTTTAATGGCTATTGATTGGTACTTTAAGGTGTGCACAAATCGTCAAGGATAATACAGTTGAGAATCGAACGTCAGCTTTTACACTAAGATTCGGTTTTTCGATTAAAGGAATTTTTTGGTTTACTTTAAAGGTAAACTGATGGGGTTACAGAGAGGTATGGCATTTATCGAACGACGCACTTTGCTATTGGTACACTGAAAATGTATCCTATTTCACACACTACAGGGAGTGCTTCAAAGTACATATGTTGTTTTTCTCGATGTAAGTGACTAAGGACTTACATTTTGTAATAAATCACTACCACACACAGGACTGGAAAACCTAAACATTAGGTTAATATTTCTTAATATAGTACGAAGTATAACTGACTCATCTATTTTACGATCAGTTATCAGGGCTTAATTCAGTACAATAGATAGCCTTCAGGTGTGAGGTGTATTTCCGAGCAGCCTTTCAACAAATAATGGATAACAGTAGACGTAGCTCAAGTCCACAAAACGTATTAATTTACGAGCGCCACATAAATCATTCGATTTGTGTAAGGGTTGGGATATTGCACGGGTGCCCACACCAAAGCAGGTGGTTTTCTTAGGAGGGCCACACCCCTAAAAATCTGATCCACAAGGCAGTGGGGCAACGTTAGGAGATGAAGTCCCATGGTAGCCGATGACCAACGATTGGTTCACACACCGACTGTTCTTTCAGGATACTGGTTCTCATGTGTATCATTGGTTTGGAGTCAGGGTTCTCCAACTCCCCTAGGTGGAGTCTCCGTGTCCACTAACCCGGTTAAAGCACCGGACATTCGCTTTTCGTCCTCTCAATTTTGTAAACAACACCCCGTTGCGCGGAAGAGAATCGAATGGTTTATGTGGAGCATATCTATTTGGTGCCTCCTTGTACCAATGTTTATGCGTTTAAATAAATAAATTTACGAGCGCTATATTCTGAACAAAAGCTTTAGTCGTTTTGATATTATCAACCAATACGATCATCTCATAGTAAATACAATGAAGAAGTTCTGCAACGTATGTTCAGGCACAGCGGCGATAATCCAATTAGTGTCACTATTTCGAAACATTGAATTCGGTGGCTTGGATATGTATTACGGATGTCGTATTAGAGAATTCCACATCGTTGGTTCTTCACAACTCGCTGGTTGAGGTCTTACAGATGGTGCAACAGTGGCTGGAGACGTTATCAGACATTACTCAGAATAAAGCCAGTTGCGATTCCGCTGTAGCTCTTTCTTACTTTCATCATAAAAATAGACGTAACTTCTTTGATTTAGAGTTCTTTTTGGTTACATTTTTGCTAACTGAACTGTTTCTCTGATTATTATTATTATTATTCCACTCTCACAAACCGATTTCTGTTTGTTGTTATTCTTTTATTATACGCACTTTACATTATCTCTCCATGGCCTCACTGTTATTGTGTGGTGCATATGTATTTGGTGCCCCTTTGTACCAATGTTTGTGTTCAAATAAATAAATAATAAACTCCTTAGTTGCATTCCTAGAGATGAGGCAACACAATGGCCTGAGATGTTGTCAGACGCGGTTCAGAATGGATGCTACTGGCGGTCCTGATCTGATTTCCTCTTACTTTCCTCATATGAGAGAAACTTTCACTGGAAGGACCCTTCCTAGTTGTATTTTTCTTAGCTGAACTGCTTCTTCCACTACTTTTTTCCTTTTTTATCATACTCACTTTTATTTAACTATCTCTTTACAATCTTATTTTTATTGTGACGCATACATATATTGGTGTCCAATATTTGATTTCAAATAAATAAAAAGCGTTGTGAAGAGCTTCTCCTATATCAAGAACCTAGAAATGAAAGCAGATTTATATTGATATGTTCAGTGAAAATCCATGCAAGGAAGAGACCTGAACCATAGGTAGGTAGTATCTCTGGAAATAGTAATGTTTTGTGGGAAACATCTCATACCAGCTACACTTTAGCAAGGCCAGCAGTATGAAATGTCGTTTTTTACCTAACTACTTTTTGATTAATCTGTACGGTAGGACCGGTAAACTTTATACGTGGAAACATGGCTATCTTCTAAGCAGGCCTTAAAATACGAGACTGGTTAAACAAGCTAACATAATCTAGTCTTTTTTGGAGGGGTTGTGTAGGTTGTGAAAAGTCAGTCAATTCACGATACTCAATACACACAGACAATTAAATCACGACCAATGTAATTTAAAACTAGGATGAAAAGCACGATATATTGTCTCTTAAATCGTTGCATTATAGCCGAATTATTTAATACCTTATTCCTTACTCACTGTTAGGTAAATCAATGTAACAGTTGAATCTTGTGCTGATCTAGGTTTCTCTAGAAATAAGGGAGTTGATAAACCAGAGTGACCAATTAGTGTCCAACATGCTAATCATTTGTTACAAACGAAGATTATAAAATTATCATTGCGCCTCTATCTAGCGACCGAAAAGATTTAGGACCAATTTAGATAGATAAAGCCGATATATGTATGGAGTAACATATTCTTTTTCATCACAATCTGAACAAACCACACATAAAAGACATTTCCTTAGAGCTACTTACAAGATGATTACAACTTCTACATCTGCACTGCTTGATTTCAACCGACACTATAAGCAAAAACACATACATTCACTGATTTCACGGTGGGACTATAATTTATGGACGACCTCTGAGCGACGCTAAAAGGACATTGATAATGTCCACCTACATACTGCGGCTAAGTGAGGGTTATAAACCAGTGTGAGGAACTAAAATTAATATTCTAAATTGATAGTTAGGGCTAGGAAATAGATCTATGGTTTTCATTACAAACTTACATTAACTATAATGCTAAAAATATTTAGCCAAATGAATGAATTAATTTTGCGCCAAAATTCAAGACCTGTCGTCGTAAATCTGACTGGTTCGTCCATAAATTATAGTCTCACAAGCTGCGGTAAACTGTGGCTATGCCGTAACTGCTTTTTCTCTCTATTGCCTATAATGCAGATTATGGCTATTATAGCAAGTGCCTCTTGTCAGCAATATAATAAAATAATAATTCATAAGCTTCGAAACCGTGCTAAAATGCATAAATTTGCTTTGAAGGCGTAATACGATGAAACATCAAGAGAAAAAAGATAAGGGAACTAGTAACTAACTTCAGGTTTACAGCTCTCTTCAACCCATTTTATCACTGATGCTGAGAGGTCAGTAAAAGAATTGAATACAATATAATTGTCAAATGAACGGAACATGGCGTCAAAAAACACTCGAAACACTTCTAGTTTTGTATCATCTGGAATCGGCTCGACTGATCTACATTCGTAATTCGGACTGTTTTGAACTATTTTCTCATAATTCCTGAATTTAAGAAACAACTTCGTTGAAGACTTACAAGCATAGTATTCGAAGAGCTTTAACCTCCTTTTCTAGACTTTCGACTTCTGACAATTTCTGGTGCTTTTGCCTTCCAAGCCTTTCAATCATATAGATAGCTGTAATGGTTGAACGAATATACTACTTTTCACTACCTTTATGTAATATGCTCGATTTACTCATCCTAACGGACGGAGAGGGTGATTCGTTTTTCATTGGATGGACGAGCTCTAACAACCCTTCAAAACCCCTCTAAATTAGGCATGGAAACCATAGCAGTACAACCAACCTTTATAGCATTTCGACGACGCTGCTCCGCTTCAGTGTGCAGCTTACGCCTGCGTTCTCTAATGCCATAACTCTCCACAGATGAGTAGTTTTCATCTTCCAAGTCTGATTCATATAAAGTTTTAACACCTGTATTATGTGATAAGCTGCTTTCTGCGTTCAGCGCCATCTGCTAGCGTCCGGACAACAACCCGAAAGATCTAGCGCAATACTTGACCTTCCCTCTAAACTCGAAATACAAACTCCAAACTCCGATAGATGAATTAAAAAACTATCTGCTTATAAATAGAGTTGTCACGTTTCCTAAAACAACTGAAATATAGAGGAGAATATCAAAAAGGTAATTGCTTCTTTTAAAATACAGAAAGTCAGAAAATTTAATAGTGTTTATAAGACTGGTAAAATAATATATTTTCTTATTTTATGTGACACTGTATAAGCACCTGTCCTAGACTGTCAGGTTTTCCATTGAATTACACGAGGTTTGCGTGTCAGATATCAATTAATTTTCGTTGTTGCAGTGGGGCGTGATATTTGTGGAGATAGTTAGAATTGATATACTTTTGGTTCACCACATATTCAAATATTCATATTTCGGCAACGCCTTTACTGGTAACACCTTTATGATCGATAAATAACAACACATTCAAACCAGAATTCAAACGGTTCAAATAGTTCAAATGGTTGTGGACGGAGCAGAAGAAGCTTTCGTTTAACGGGCTTCCGTGTCTAATAGCAGGGGATCACCAAATCCTCCAGGCAGGAACCTAGGTATGTTAACAATAAAAGAGGAAAAAGAACTTGGTAAATCATAGTATGATACTATCCTTTATCCTTAAGAATAGATCAAGTTGCCTCTTAAATGACTCCTGGACTAGCTCGGCCGGCAGCGAATTCCAGCATTTGACAACTCTTAAAGAGTAGAAGTTGTGTCTACAGTCCGTTCTGCTATGTTGTGTCTCCAATTTCTGGGTGTTACCCCTTAGTTTTGTATTGGAACTAAGCCTAAGTAGGTGTTTAAGGGGATGTCCAGAAGTGTTAAGAATACTGTAAGCCATTAGAAGGTCACCTCAAAGATGCCTATACTCTAATGGGTAAAGGTTAAGGGATTGGCGGCGCTCTTCATAAGGTTTGAATTTGAGTCCCCGAACAGATTTCGTGGCTCGCCGCTGGATACGCTCCAGAGTGTTCTTAACCTTTTGAAGTGAGGGAATACTATATTTCCGTACTTTAAATGAGGACGAATAGAACTGTTGAAGATTATGTGGAAAGTTGTTCCGTCAAACTGGTCAAAAATGCGCTTCAATGTTACCAGTGCAAGGTTTGCTCGAAAGGCATTTTTGTCACAGTTAGCGTAAGACTTTAAATCGTAGGGCACCAGGACTCCTAAATCTTTTTCGACTTGGGATACTACTAGAGAGGAGCTTCCCAAGTTGTAACTGTAGTCTGCAATATGTCGCAGATGGACTGCTTTACACTTTGAAGTGTTAAAGGTAAGTCCGTTATCGTCTGCCCAACTTTGAAGTCGAGTCAGATCCTCCTGAAGTGCCCGTATACCGTCTTGGTTGCGTATCTCTCTCCAAAGTTTCACGTCATCGGCAAAAAGTCATAAGTCTGACGTTACCTGTTGAGGAAGATCATTTATGTAGATCAAGAAGAGAAGAGGCCCTAGTACTGAGCCCTGGGGGACCCCACTAGGACATTCCATAGCCTGAGATTTTTCAGGTATGAAGTAAGCCAATCGATTAGAGGTGGTCTGATACTCAATCGTTTGAGCTTATTGATAAGACATGTATGGTTAACCTTATCAAAAGCTTTTGAGAAATCTAGGTAGATGATATCAACCTTCCCCTTGTGATCAAGGATGCTTGTCCATGTGTCCACCGCAGTCAGAAGGTTGGTTATACAAGAGTAGCTCTTCCTGGAACCATGCTGTTGGGGTGAGAAGAAATTTAAGGACAATAAATAGTCATTTATACCATCGCATATCAGGGACTCCATGATTTTTGAAGGTATGGAGAGAAGAGCCACCGGTCGACCTCCTTTGAAAATTGATATGATATGAACTAAATTCCAATTTTCCGGTAGTTTGCCTCGGCTTAGCGAGTGTGAGAACATCACTCTAAGCGGCGTTGCCAGGATTGGGGCTGCTTCACTGAGTGTGGCAGAATGGGCCATATCCGGGCCAGGAGAATTGTCTATTCTTAAGTGCTGCAGTTTCCGGAACACCAAGTCAGCGCTCAGGTTCACTTCAGAAAGTCCTTTGGAGTTGCAGACGAAGCTTTCATCAGTACAGTTGATGTGGGTCGGTTGAAATGTCCGAGAGTATTGTTCAGCCAAAAAGTTAGCAGCGTCGCCGTCGTCGTTGGTCGGGCCGTTAAGACCTAGCAGTTGGGGAACTCCAGTTTTGGCTTGACGAAGAGAGGCTGCATAACGGGATAAGCTTTTCGGATTAGAGACTAATCTATCCATGAGCTCTATCTAGTACTGAAGCCTGTCTTCTCTTATAGCCTTCTTGCATATGTTCCTTATATGTTTGTATTGCCTGTACGCTCCGTTGTTGTCAGTTTGTTTGTTCTCTGCCCAACGGTGCCTTTTGCGGCTTAGCAGGCGAAGAGTGAGGTTCCTGATGATTGTGGGTTGCTGATAGCTATGGGGGACCGTTTGTGGAACCGAATGATTTGTAGCACATATGAGCGTGTGCAGTAAGAAGTCCCACTGAGCATGCACATTGAGTTGGGGGTGAACATCCCAATCCACCTGTTGTAGATATCCCTGTAGAGCTGACAGATTCAACCGTTTGAAATTCCTGTGCACGTTGTTGGTGGGATATCTTAACTCAGTTTTGCTGACAAAACTGAACGCTATAACGGCGTGATCGTTTTTTCCCAAGGGAGCCAGGATTGAGAGGTTGTCAACTAGTAATTCTTCGGCTGTGAATACACAGTCTAAGCGCGATGGTGTCTGACTGTTTCTCCAACGAGTTGCCGACCTCACATTTTCGTAAAATCCCAAGTCCTCAATGAGGATGAATAACCGTGCTCCAGTTGAGTTTTCACTTCCAATATACGTATGTTCCGCGAAGTTGACCCCAGGGAGATTGAAGTCCCCTAGAATCAGGATATGAATGAAACCGAGACGCGTAGAGCGGGATAGTCCTTCCAGCATACGACTGTCATACTCGGTGTCAGCAGTGGACTTCCTGTTTATGACTCCGACTAGACACCTCGAATTAGTAGACAGTCTTACAGAGCACCATATGGATTCCTCAAGATTGTTAAACTCGAGGTTATGAACTTGGTGTACCTCCAAACAAAGTCGTATGTATATGGCTACTCCATCCCCAATTCCTGATTTTTTCATTTCAGAACAAAGACATCCCAGGTACTACTAACTCATGGTCCGAAAACTGAGATATCCAAGTTTCAGATATACCTATCAGATGAGCCTTATTAGTATTGCTAAGTTCACATAGCTCATCCATTTTGTTTGATAGGCTCGCGGCGTTCATGTATGAGCAGTTTATGCTTTCAATTTGAAACGCGTGAGCTTCTTCCTGTTTGTTTGTATGAGTCTTACGTGAATGGACAGGTAGCCTACCTATATAAGGTTTGCCGAGTTGGTAGGCCCTGTCATTTACACGTTTTTTATCATCGGGACAGTCCACAAGTGGAATGGTCAGGCCAACTTGCCTTCGTGCTTGGTCCTAGCTTCATATGGCCTATCCGGGTGCATGTGGATTCCAGCTGGCAACCGACGTCTGTTGGCACGAAATGTCTCCAGAGTTGCAGCCGCCATATGGGAGGATGGGAAAGTTATCTTTATTAGCTGGGGTCTGGAATCACTGTCCTTCTTGGCTGGTCTCGTCACACGTTGAGTCAGTATGTTTTAGAGCCTCAACGACTGTTTGATGAATTTTTATTCCCTAATATCAAAGTTTGCTTGATTAGGGTCCGTGTTTTTCGGTACACCTTGCACAATTAAATTTATTTCGCGGAAAAACTCGCGAGATTCTTTAGGGATGTTCCGGATGAGATTGCGCTCAGAATACGGTATGTCGGGCAGTATCCTTATGTTCCCATCGGATTTCAGTAAATAACTCGCTAGCAAGACATCCTCTACGTCGGTAGCATTCTTAAGTGTTACACGAAGTAGCCTCGGGTGTTTTTGATGCTTAGATTCCTTTCCCCGAGTGAGCCGTGTGACTGTCAAAGGCTCTATTCTAGGAAGTTCAAGTTTCTTATTCAATTCACCCCAAAGTATCCTGTCATTTTTGTCCTGCAAACTGAGAGGACGGTCAGGGTTGTCTTTGAGGTTCATGATTATGAAAGAGTCATCACAAAATGTTATTGTTTTCCCAGGTTTTCCGATGCGTTCAGGTTCAGCACCTTGTTGTTTGGAGGTCGAAGCACGTTTGTGAATCCTAGGCTCTTTGATGATCGGACAGACATTCTTTGCGGTAGACTGTGCGACCAAATCACCAGTTGATTTCTGTACAACACCTGAGTTGTTCAACTTAGACGGTAACGCCTGATCCTTTTTAGCTCTTTTAACGTGGGTTCAATCACCTACAGAGTTTTCGGGGACCACTTTCGCATTCAAGGACCCTGAGCTGGGAGACCCGAGTTTACTGAGGGAGTCGATTACCGTCGACGTAATGATGGTGCTGAGTTTCAACATGTCATCATTAGTGCTAACGCATGCTCCATCGATGGCAGACCTGTCAACATCCCTGTTCTTCTTTTCGTTGCGCACTCTTGTTTGTCTACCCGTTTTGTGACTGTCTTTTACCAGGTTTCCTGACAACTTACTCTGCAGACCTGTCAGTAGGACAATGACGTTAGTCAGCAAAACTACAGCATCCGTGCTGCACGTAACACAGAAGTGAAGTTCGAAGATAAACTTGGAAAGTTACCGATATGTCGAGTAACGTTTGATCTAAGCTGGGTATTATATGCAAGGGATGTGTAGAACGGCTTACCCACTCGTGATGTGATATGGATGTGTGACCAAGCGCCTTGTAGGAATAGTTCACATATACTTATTTTGCAAGTAGTTTTTGTTGTTTGCATTTTTACTGATTCTCATAATTTGTACGACTACCATTATTGACTGTAAAAGTATTGTTTTAAAAAAAGTGACCTTTGAAGTTCCGTTCTGTTTTTGGAATACCCCATACATGATACATTGATAATCACTCACAAATATACTGCTGCGCATATGTGCTTCTTGTTTTCAATTATCTACCGTTAAGATAACTGAACTCCATTATACTTGCAGTCAACGTTGACAGATCGCAGTAATGTCCTCATTACATGTTATACCTGGATATACATCTCGAATGGTAGAAATTATTTTTTAAATCAATATTAACCCACAATTTTGAGTGACAAGGCCGAAGGGGACTGCAGCACGCCTAGCCTTGAAAATTTAAGTAACGTCAGTATATTTTTATATGATTTATAGTTAGTATATTGACACAATAATTTTCTACATGATAACTTTATCATTATTTTTGGACTTGAAGTATTTTGGTCCACTACGGCCTTCAGCTGCTGTGCGTTCACTAAAACTAAGAAGGTCAGCATCAGTGCTGAAGACTTGTATAACTATATGTTTTGCGGACGTATTTACTGTTGCACCATTCTTCCTGTAGCAGTTTTAACCATTTGACTCTAGTTATGACTCCAAATTATCTCGATCTGAGGCTTGTAAGATTTCTGTCGACTGCTTCCCCTGTTAAATGTTAGTGCATTGTATGAGCTTTCTGGGTCATCGTTTCGCTTTTCCTTTTGTTCTCTTTTCTAGTCCTCCCTGCTTACGCTACTCGGCGTGCTCCCCTAATAATCTCATCTCGACCTCCCAGCATGGATTTCTTAGGTCCAGATCATGCGATACATGCCTAGTAGACTACCTGAATGATATAACTCTGAAACGAGACAGCGGACTCCTTGTATCAGTCCTATTTCTAGACTTTAAGAAAGCCTTTGATAAGGTCCCACACAAAAGGCTACTCGTAAAACTAAAGTATTCGGAATAAACAACCCACTGTACTCATGGTTTGCATCGTTCTTAACAGAACGTAAACAGATGGTAAAGTACAATGACTGTCTCTCGTCACCTAGACCAATCACCAGTGGATTCATCCAGGGAAGCGTATTAGGTCCACTTTTGTTTCTTATGTATATAAACGATATATGTAACACCATAGAATTTGGGAAACCATACTTATATGCTGATGATCTCAAAATAGTATACAGCTATAAGCCTGAGACACTAAGCGAAAGTATATCCCAGATCCAAAAGGACCTCAATAACTTAACTATATGGAGTGAAAAATGGCAATTACCATTTAACCTCAACAAGTGCGGGATCATGCACTTTGGAAAGCATCCCTATAAACCGCGACTTCACTTAAATGAATGTATAGTCCAAACACTCGAATCAGTACACGATTTAGGAATTAATTACGCAGGAAGCCTAAACTTTGAAGAACATGCCTCCTCTATTATTTCTAAATCTAGACAGCTAATTGGTTTTATAATGAAAAACTTTTTCACAACAGAGGGTAAACTTACTCTCTACAAAATATGTGTACGACCCTCCCTTGAATACTGCTCTTTTGTCTTCTCTAATATGAATATCACAGACAAGATAAGAGTAGAAGATGTTCAAAGACGTTTCACACGTCAACCACTGGGATGTAACTCGAGTCTCGATTACACAGACAGATGTAAGCATCTATCTTTAGAACCTTTATGGCACCGTAGGCTAAAAAACAATTTAATATTTCTCTACAAAGCGATATATGGGCTCTCCTTTCTAACCTCCTGGCCGACTATCACCCACGATCCAGCCTATAGACTTAGAAACAACGCATATACACTACTTACCGTAAAACACCAAAAACAAATGCGTTGTAAGTTTTTTACAGTACGGTATAGTTTATTGTGGAACAGGCTGCCAATGCCTATACGCAACTGTGATACGTTTACCAGATTCAAAAAGCTAATAGCCCTATTTCTTGACTCCAAAGAGTTTCAACATTGCCTTGAACTCCCGCCCACCAATGAGGCACTTTATTACGGACCGCCCAGTATCTAGAAAGAACAAGATTATAACAAGTTCGACTGTTACTAATACGAATATCACCAAACCACAGAATATATGGCTTACCCTTTCCTATTATTCATTGTTTATTAATCATAACCTTATGTTCCTAACCCTAGCTTTCAGTTCCCAAATCTCTACAGGTTAAATGAACATTATTCTTTCTAAAAGTCATGCTTTTTTTTCTACTGCAAGTAGACAGATAGCTCAATCTTATGGATGCTGATCTACTAAGGCCGATCATACAAAGCTCAAAATTTGGCCACAAAGTCTTGTGAGTTTCTCAATGTTTTATTTGTCTTACCCTGAAATCTTTTTTCTTTTTTCTTTCTACAGTTTTATACCCTCTCATATCTTTTTGATTTGCTATTAGTCCTTACTTCTTTAAACCATTAGTTATTTTCATAGCAGTGTGATATACTATATGGACATCTAACCCAAAAAAAGACTTTCCAACTATCTGACATGCTTGTAACATGGACCTAGTAGAGACAGTGTATTCGAACTATGGGCTTTGATTAAAGCAGTATTCATACTTACCATAAACGTAAAAGAGCCTAACATCACAAAAGGAGGGAGGGTGGCGTTACTGACCAGCAAACATGATGGTGGGGAGATAAATTCAATCCACCCATGTCTGTAGGGCAGAACATTTTGTTTAATTACGGCTCCTTATGGTTTAGTGGGATGTCACGAACTTAAGGTATTAATGGTGATTTATCATGCAAAATACCTCTTTAAATCGTGTTACGAACGTTGAATTGGTTTCACTTCCTACTCAGTAATCCTATTATAAGCAAACTAGACAATTCGATAATATACGAAGCCTACTCAAGACCCTATGATACCTGAAAAAAAGTAATAATACAAAAAAAAGAAAAGGGCTCCAATTGCTTCGATAAAAAAGTTAGCCAATTGTATATCACAATAGTGTTTCTAGCACCATATTTTATTTTAGAATCACACATAATCCCATACTCTCAGCTCCTTTCCGAATCGCCTCCATGTGTCAGTTGTATGTCCACTCACACTTTGTTAACACTTATTGTCTTTAACCTATTAAATGCTCTTGCTTAACAAATACCTTAATAAAAGAAAATTAGACTGAGTGATCACACCTTAAACATTCCTTCATGAATGTTGGCTACTCTGCCCCTCGTGTTTTCTTTTACTTGCCCCCTCTTTCAGCCCCCTTGTGATATGGAACGAAAGATTTTATCTTGCACCATCCTCAAAGCCTCAGACGTTCCAAAGGGACATAAGGTTGAGACATTTAGAAGCTCCCACCTTCAATGGACCTATCGTTGACCATCAGTTGCACATTTGCCACGCAACTTTCGTGAAGCGCCAATTGTAGTACTGACTAAAACCATCTACATTCATATCTTATAAATTATCAACCCAGCTATGTAATTTACTACAGTGGATATTGTATCATTTGTATCAATTTGATCTTGCCTGTAAACTGGCATGCCTCATGTAACAAACTGTTATTTGAGAATAAATTATTATTATTATTATTATTATTATTATTATTATTGCATATAGGGCCTTCAAGCTAGACGTGAACTCGTACATTTTTATGGACCCCTGTTCACGCTTAACTAGTCGGAAAAACAACCATATGTTATAATCCTGTCATAACTCATTCAACTACCCCTACCTTCTTGTCAGACTGCTTTCTCTAGTATCAAAACCTGGTGTGTATGTGTATACACTTTCTTGCTGTTTGATCCCAAACATCCAGAAGCAGCCTGGCTCGTTGAAAATAAATTGTATTCGTATCTTTTTTCAATGAAATAAACACACTTGGAGTTTGTAGGAGTAAATAAACCAGCAGTGGCATTGGACCCCAACCACAGGAACTTTGTAGCCGGACACAGAGTTACTGTAATGATTTATATTCAACGGTTAACATAAAGAGAAGGTTAACGATGGAGAATGTGGGAATATTCAGTTAGATAAATTGGATGGCATGGTTCAGCCTCGCAGACGTGGTCAATCTGTACAACTTGTTTTTACTCACATTAAATATATTACTCCATTTTTAGCATAAATATGTTCTTCCGAAACTCCAGACGTCGTATTGCTAATTGTTACGATGCGATGAGTCATTTTAGACAATGATGTGACTTCCATGCAAGATCGTAGCTTAATAGGTCGATCGATAATAATAGCTGGTCATCCATATTAATTATAAGCCACAATGGTTTGTTAACAAGCTTTAGTAGCACATACATGCTTCGGCGAAATAAACTTGTCAAGACACCAAACTCTAAGAAATATGGCCTTTAAATGACGCAAATATATATTGGATCGCAGCGTGAGAAAAGACTGAATGGTTATCTGGACCTAGTCCTTCATATTATTTCTTCACCTAACTATCCACTCTACCTTAAACTATGAACTATCCTATAGTATCTTTTCTTCGACCACTGCCTGCCTAATTTCCAGTTTTCGAGTTCCACTGCCAAACAACGAAGACAATACTCCGGAAATTTGCGGTGAGTTTAAGCCATAATGCTTTTGCAACCCTAATATAATTTCAGATTACTTATACGTTGAAAGCCAAGTGTTTATCTAGGCTCTAGGATTGTCACTAAATCAACCAAGTGGCGAAGTCAGTAGCACCGTACGCCCAAGAACTAGTTGGAATGCTGGGTGTTCAATCTAGTTGCTTTTGGATCATTACTACTTGTCGCAACTGGTCTTATATACGTCAAAACTGTTGGATGATCTAATCCCTAAAAGTAATCCAGGTGCGTTTTGCTATTTTGCTGGGTGATTTACTGTTTTGATGCTTAAGATGTATATATTTTCACTCAGACCAGCCTTATATATTTCATACAAACCACTCGTAAATCGCTTATGACATAAGGTAATTTCATAACCTTTACAACAACATACTACCATGGAAAAGTATGTTGTTTAAAGCTTTAGCAAATTCAACTAATTCACTAGCCATATGTAAACCACATAGAAAGTGTGTTTCTGCCCAATTTCCACTATCATCACCAAAATCATCGCCACCATCCAAAGGACAATCATCAGCTGATTTTAGTAGACAATCCACATCTAATGATTGAATTAGACGACCGGCGCAGTCTTCAATTAGTTGATCATGTTCGATGGAACAACAAGCATATTTTGAATTCGGAAATGTTGTATTCATCGTCATAACAGTATGTCCATGATCAATTAGATTATCGTCATGAGGATGACGATGAATATCATCATCATTATCATGATTATATGCTTTGATATTAGTGGTGAATGCTTGTTCATTCATATGACTGTGAGCTTCATGGTACACATGTGAAACTTTCATATGTTTTTGTGATCGTGTTTTTTTGAGCTGGCTACTACTGCTACTACTAATAGTAGTATTATAATTGTCATCATTGTTGAATAATTTAGTAGGCATTAATAAAATATTCAAATATTTTGGTAGATCAGTTAACTTCACAGATGAAATTAGATCGACATTTACTGATTGATTCCATTGTTCACGATGACATTCAGAACAACATAACTGATACAGTAATAACCATAGTTCTTGTAAAGTATGTAATGCGTCTAATCGTGCACATAGGCGCGCCATCGGTAACAGCAAACTGTCTGTAGATCCATAACGATCATAGTTATCATTGCTACTATGATTAGTAATATTCGCAGGGATAATATGCTGGAAAGTTAGAGGAGAAGCGTATTAGATTCAAAAAATTATTTGACACATAGTTGTAATTGCCTCTGTCATACATTTATAACTATCACCAGACTAATTACAGCATCTTCTTATGAAAAGCTTATAACTCCTCATATTCCTGACTGAAGTACAATAAGCCGTCTCAACTTCAGAATTTTTTATTTTTGACGATTAGTTCCTAATTCTGTTCCTTATCAACCTGCATGTTAGCCTAGCTTATACGTGCATTGTATTATATCATGACAAGTCAGGGGATAGAAGCTGCGAAGTATGTATTGAGTTATATTCCAAATATAGTGGAGTACTCTACTCGGTTCATTGTTTTATCCACAGAAATTGTATGCTGCCGAAATATCGAAAGAAATATCACTACTTTAACACGACAGACTAATTCAACATATAAATACATATTCCTGTAAAGTCAAGTAGACACTTAGTTCATCGAAGCCATATCTTCAGAGTATGTAAGAGCTCTTATGTAGTCCATTTTAATGACGAATTTCTTGACGCTCTTCCCTCTTTCACGTTCTGGATTAATCTTAAAGTATCTAAGTATCGTTTATGTGGAAAATGTAGAAGTCAGTCATCTAGTTTTATGTCCAACAGATAAGTATAAATCGGTGATTAATAGAACTTATTATGCAACCAATGTCATAATAATAATTAACATTATAATTACCACAAACAATCCAGAGCTCATGATGGTTTGATAGACACAAATAGGATATAAACGATTGTGTCATATTCTACTGTGTGCACCAATTAATAATTACCTGTGAATATAAACGAATAGAGATAAGTAATCTTAATTTGAAAGAGAACGCTGTAGAACCTAAATTATTGAATAGATAAATAAATTACAGTAAATATTAAACATTTATCGTGCTTCATAGCTGGTTGTCGTCTTTTTAGAAATATTTATTTTCTACGGGATGGAAATGCCGACCCGATGCCTAACACTCATGCCGGTCTTGGAACCGGCAGTAACTCTAGGTGAGCTATATGCGGACATGAACAAATCCAGATGAAGACAACTAGTGTAGCAGCAGCTTCTGCATCAGTGAGTTTCAACATTCAAAAAAGGAAAAAGCATGATCATCAAATACAATACAGAGAACACCAACACAATCACGCTTGGTGGAGAAACTTTGGAAGAGGTTGAATTCTCTCACGTACCATGGTAGCATCACTGATGAACAAGGAGGATCCGATGCAGATGTACCGGGGATGATTGGCAAAGTAAGGGCATCATTACTGAAGTTGAAGAGCATATAGAACTCAAACCAACTCTCAACCAATGTCAAATTGGGAATCTTCGATACGAATATCCAGACAGTTCTAATCTCTGAAGCTGAAACGTGGAGAACTACCACAACCATCATCAAAAAGGTAAAAGTATTCATAAGCAAGTGTCTTCGTATGATACTGAATGTTCGTTGACCGGATACCATCAGCAACAGCCTACTGGGGGGAGAACAGACCCGCTTACAGCTGAGGAGGAAATCAGAAAAAGACGCCTGAAATGTGTTAGACATACTTTACGAAATCTTAAAACTACATCACGACCCAAGTAGTAACTTGGAATCCTGTAGGGAAGTGGAAAAGAAGAAGGCCGAAGAAAATAATACGTTGAGAATCGGAAGCAGATGTAAAAAGGATGAACAGCAACTGGAAACAACTAAAAAGGATTGCTCAGGACAGGGGTGGATGGAGAGTACTGGCGTGCAGCCTATTCTCCTAGATGTGAGGTAACAGGAGTAAGTAGGTAAGTAAGTTTATTGAAACTTACCAGTCCTTCGGGCGTGAGTAATTGCTTGATTGCGGCCGGTTTTGGGTAATGAAGAATGACCGCCACTTTTCTTTGGCAGAGATTGAATGTCTTGAACATCAATAGTGTTTCCGAGGAAATATAGTGAGTCATTTCCGATTTAACATTTCTGAATGTTCACAGTAATACCGTGCTTTTGAAGACAAAGTCCAGATACCGGAGATTGCATTCTCTGTCCGGACTTGCAATCGAGTAGTCATCAACATACGCATATACGAAGTTGAGATCTCGGAAAACGTCATCGGTGAGACACTGGAAGATTTGGGCAGCATTTCTTAAGCCGAAAGGCATGCGCGAAATCCCGTAGAGACCGAAAGGATTGGTGATACAGGTTTTAAGAATGTCTTCAGCAGCCATTGAAATCTGGTTATATGATTTAACCAAGTTGATTTTTGAAAAAAACCGTTGTACCTTTCAAGGTAGCTGTCAAATCATGAATGTGGGGCAACGAAAATCGATCAAGAATGGTTTACGCATTAAATCGCCGATAGTATCCAGTTGGACGCCAGTCGCTGCTGTCCTTTTTGGGGACCATATTCAGGGTAAACGCCCATGGACTGTTTGACGGCCGAACGATCCCTAAATCTATCATGTGATTGAATTCGTTCTTAGGCAACCACAGCTTTCCGAGAGCTAGGTGGCGTGCTTTCGAGGATATAGGTGGTCCTGTATTCGTGATGTGATGTACAAAACTGCTGGTTGAATAAGACAATTTTGGTTGCGTCTGGTATATCTCAGAGTACTCATCGAATATTTGTTGGTGGTATGGATCGGTCGTGTGCCTTACTGTAACTGGAGATAAACTACAACCGTAAAAAGTTACACAAACAGATAAATTAGTGTTTCCGTCTACTCAGTATATGTGAACGAATGAACTGATATTTGCTTTTATAATAATAATATTAATAATTTATTCTCAAATAACAGTTTGTTACATGAGGCATGCCAGTTTACAGGCAAGATCAAATTGATACAAATGATACAATATCCACTGTAGTAAATTACATAGCTGGGTTGATAATTTATAAGATATGAATGTAGATGGTTTTAGTCAGTACTACAATTGGCGCTTCACGAAAGTTGCGTGGCAAATGTGCAACTGATGGTCAACGATAGGTCCATTGAAGGTGGGAGCTTCTAAATGTCTCAACCTTATGTCCCTTTGGAACGTCTGAGGCTTTGAGGATGGTGCAAGATAAAATCTTTCGTTCCATATCACAAGGGGGCTGAAAGAGGGGGCAAGTAAAAGAAAACACGAGGGGCAGAGTAGCCAACATTCATGAAGGAATGTTTAAGGTGTGATCACTCAGTCTAATTTTCTTTTATTAAGGTATTTGTTAAGCAAGAGCATTTAATAGGTTAAAGACAATAAGTGTTAACAAAGTGTGAGTGGACATACAACTGACACATGGAGGCGATTCGGAAAGGAGCTGAGAGTATGGGATTATGTGTGATTCTAAAATAAAATATGGTGCTAGAAACACTATTGTGATATACAATTGGCTAACTTTTTTATCGAAGCAATTGGAGCCCTTTTCTTTTTTTGTATTATTACTTTTTTTCAGGTATCATAGGGTCTTGAGTAGGCTTCGTATATTATCGAATTGTCTAGTTTGCTTATAATAGGATTACTGAGTAGGAAGTGAAACCAATTCAACGTTCGTAACACGATTTAAAGAGGTATTTTGCATGATAAATCACCATTAATACCTTAAGTTCGTGACATCCCACTAAACCATAAGGAGCCGTAATTAAACAAAATAGATTATATTAATTTAACAGCCCTGCTGGGGATGCATACTGTGAACCAGTAAATGTTGTAACTTGTAGGTCATGCCTGTAAAAATGGCGTGTACCTGCTTTTGCAGAAATATATAATAATAACCTCCGTTTACGAGTATCGATGAGTAAATTGTGATGTTGCAGCAAGTGTATATCAATGATTAGCATAGAAAAACCTACAAAAACGAAAATCCACTGCATCGGTTTGTGTTAACTCACGTTAAGATAGACATACCGCTCACCATATATGGAGATCGGTTTTCCGTTTGCCGCCTGAAAGTTTAAAACCGGTTCGTGCAGTCGATCGTTAGAATTCGTTAGAGGAACGCTAACTTCTGCGCCAGCGTCTAAGTTGTAGCGAACTTCCGTTATCGCATCAGCGACGCATAACAGACGGCTATGTTCGCCGGCCATGATTGCTGTCAACATGTGTCGGCTGGAAAGTCTCCCGAAACGTTTTTCATGTCGGTCGGTCTGGAGCTCAGAAATTCGCAGGGTTTTCTACAATTTTGGGATTTTCTGTACTGATTGTGATACTAACATCACTCGGGGTTATCTGTCTCTCGTGGTATAGAGACAGGTCGTTTTCGCGAAGAACTCCTTTGAGGAGTTCGTGGACGTTTACGGTCAGTACGAATACGAAGGTAACGTCAGCGAATGACATAGTTTCATAACGTCATTCCGCGTCGTTTGATGTTTTATCTTGGATGAAAAATCCTCGGTGTTAGAAGATTTAGTGATTCCTAGAATGCGTTTGGCAGATGTAACCAGCTCGTCTACAGCGTTTTTTTGAAACAAGACAAGCACTGCTTGCACCTGTTGAGGATGTTAAGACAAGAAAAGTTGTCTAAACAGGCCATCATCGAAGGTCCATCGACCAAGTACTTCTCTCATTCGTAACAACATGTTCGTTCTTGAGTCGTGTCGCAGATCGATGTTAATAAATGAATGGATTTAACCTTTGTTGATCGGTTAGATTTCCGCGTTTCAGAATAGATCGTTTTAGAGTTTCGTAATGGTCCGAGAAATCACTTGTAAACATACCAGGTGTTACGTACCTGTTAAATTCGCGCGTTAGTGCCTTGACCACTGCGAGGTATTGTGCACGTATACCGTTGACGCCATACTCGTAGAAGTCGGCCTTTGCGTAGCAGAACCAGGTTTCGATATTGTCCGGCCAGCATGACATTAACTTAAATGAGGGTGGTGTCATAGCCTTGGTCTTAAGCACCTTAGGAGTCATGGCGAATATGAAGTACAAGAATGAAGGAGGAAAAGTATCCAA